AAAACAGTCCATTTTGCACATGACTATTTATTAGCCTATTTCTCTCTCTTAGAATTAAACAGGCAGTTTTTCCTACTGTGCCTTGAATGGGAGGAGCTAAACTCTGCTGTAGGCTGAATGTGGATTTATGTAAAATTGTGGATTTTCGAACATCACGAAAACAGTGAATTCGAAACTTTTTTTTGCAGCTTCATTTCTATCTCTCATGAATGCATATTAACTGCAGAGATGGAAAAGAACAATGCATTTTGGCTGAAATTAATGTGGAGCTGTGCCTTACCTTTTTAAGTGTGTTTTTCAAAATTTTCAGAAGGAAAGGGATGTAGTTATTTGACGAGTGAGTAACGGAGGCTGTCTCAGATGAGCTAATGAGCTAAAACAGTAGCTAACTGGTACAACACTGGATGCTGATGGAGACTCATCGTCTTCTACATGTGTGGATGATGTGCCAACACCGTTATTTTTTCAGAGAAATATATTTCAGCTGTTTCTGGACTTAACATCAGCCTAGTCCATTTAGTGATAAAGGTCCTCTGTCTCTGCCTTCGTTGTCACATTATTGGCAATGCACTCAAATCAACACACTTGTGTCTCAGAGTAGTATAAAGTAACATAAACAACAGAAAGTTTTAGAATTTTAAAAATTTTCAAACAGAGAAAAGTTATGATGAGGGCTTCATACAAAAGATCAGAATTTCTTTTAATTTTTTCCTTCATTTGAAGCTCATGTTCAGATGACTCTCAGGTTTAGATCCTAAATTCTGAAATTCATGTAAACATTTTAAAGATTCTACTTTTCATTCAGATTGTTATGCTGATAATGTAATTTGCAATGAAAAACTTGGTATTAAATCGGAGAATAATGTAAAGTTGGATCATTTTTACTTGTGGTTTCAGACGTTTGGACACTGCTGTACTTATATAACCAAAACTTTTACCTGGTTCTGTTAAAACATCCCAGTTTCATGGAATTTTTGGTCTGTATATTTTCTCACTCTTCTTGTGATGAAACGTAAGGGATGTCTGACTTGAAATTTCAGTATTTAAGTACTGGCACTTTTGCACATCCCTAATTAATTGTGCGTTTTGACACTCTTTTATTGGTCCAAAAACACAGGTAATGCACCAAAATGTACAAAGTGTGTGCAGTATCCTGGCTGTATTTTTTGTTTGATTCCTTCAATACAGCTGCGCCCAGTATAGCTGAAAAGCAGACAGAAGCAGTGATGAAGGCCTGAGTTTATGTGCCAGTCGTGTATTACTGCTCGGAGATGGATGCATAAGCAGGTTGGCAGCAGGGTCGCCCGTTGATCATTTTTATTTGCACGAGGACGTTACCACTCCATATTTCCTCAGCTCTATCAGGCAGGACTCACTTCATTGTAATTATCTGGGAAAGAATAGGAGCAGCGCTTGATATAGTCGATGTGACCTCATAAAAAATGTGAGCATAATTTTGTCTTGCCCTCTGCTAAGGGCAGATCTCTAGAATGAGCGAATTTACATTCACGGCACGTCTGGCGCGGTAAGAACTCGCCACTCTCGGCTTTGAATCTTTGAAGATTTTACCAATCAAAATATATATGTGAGGGACTCATTCCAGTTTGACCCGCTTGACACATTTGAATGGTTTGAAATAGCCTTCGGAGAGGGTCCTCCACGTCGTACTGATAGCTGATTCATCCAGCTATGGAGATGGAGAGCGATGGCATGATATCTGTATGCAGTGGGCAGAAGTTTGCACTTTTGCTGTGTGAAGCGGCATCATTGATCACGTCAGTCCAGTGTATAGCCCTGCTGGCTGCTGGTGGTAAACACTGACTATAATGAGGGATGGCACTCTGGGAGACCTGTCCATACAGCATGGTGCGGTGCAATTAAATTTGCAAGAAAAGCCTCAAAATGTAGCCAAGTTGCTCTTATAAACCTAAGTAGAGGCTTTTCAATGGTACTTCACTTCTTGCAGTGACTGTGTGTTTGCTTCTGTAGACAACTTTACATCTTTGCATAGACTGCTTTTTTATATGAGCAGATTCTGTAACTTTAAGTAGGGCTCTTCCAGACATGTCTATGTGTAAGGCAGCATGATATAGACATAATGCGAGTGTAATTATATTGCGGTTGCTATATGCTGATTATATTGCAGTATGCAGTTTATTAAAACACATTGGTGAATTAGTAGTGTACAGTGTACTATGTACAGAAACCCAGAGACCACCTTTCATTTATTTAATTTTCATTCAAAATGGCCATCAAATAGTTATTTTATAGTTATGTTATTCATTTTTCTGGAGATATTTCTGGGGGGATTTGATGTAAGACAATCCACTGGCATAAGGAAGGGAAAAGTCAAAGGAGTAAATAAGTGTAAAATACAGGAGTTTCCAAAATGAATTTGAGAAAATTATTAAAGATACAGAGACAATGGTACTCCGAACAGCAGTACAAGACCAGTAGACCACCAACACTTCTCCATCAGATAAACAGGACTTAAAACTTTGATCATTGAGAGAGAGGAGAAAATCAAGCTCCGCTCTTTCTTCAGATCTGAAAAAAGCACAGCTGTTTCTGTCCATCCTTTCACTGTGAGAAGACAACTCAACAGTATGAGTCTGAAAGAATTTTTAGCTGTCAAGAAGCTGCAGAGTCCAGACCTCAACATCACTGAATGTGTTTGGGATTACTTGAATCAAGAGAAGCCGAAAAAACACCCAACTTCTGAGACTGATCTACTTGTGGTGTGGAAAAATGTCCCTGCAGATTTCTTTGAAAAACTGAAAGCAAGCCTCCTAAAACAGAATGGAAGCTCTAATGAAGGCAAAGGGTGGACACACTAAATGCTGAAAAATTGATACATTTAGTTATTATACCTTCTTTGTAATTCTCTGTTAAATAGAAGTCTTTTGCTGATGCTGAAAAACAAATAACTTGTGCTTAATCGCTGTTTTGACTGTAAATTAAATAATTGATGGGTGGTCTCTAACTTTTGCACATTACTGTACATGGTTAAGCATTGCATTATTTTTTACCAAAATAATGGACATTGATTGAATTACATGATTATATCGATTCATCAGAACACCAAAAGACACACTTGTTGGAACTGTAATTGGTCAAGACACTTGCTTTGATAGAGGTTAGAGGCCTCATTTGCATATTGCAACCTTCTGAGAGAACAGTATTGCAAAAACAATATTAACAAACAATACATTCTTCAGCTGTGTGTATGTGTACGTTTCTGTATGAGTTATACAGAAATAGGAGCAGAGAAAAAAATTAAAGGCAGTAAGATGGGCAGAGAGAGAGAGAGAGAGAGAGAGAAGTGTCTAAGAGAGGCTGAGGAAGAAGGAGAGAGAGAGAGAAAGCACGCATCTGGATCGTCACGGGGTCATGTGACTGCCAGGTTTCCTTGGAGACAGCAGCAGTGTTGTGCATTCAGATGCTAGTTCAGTTGAGTGGAGGGCAGCACGGAGCAGGCAGCAGCTGGCCTCTGGATGAGTGTCTGCGAGCTCAACAGACAGGTGCTCCTTACACTACGCAAGGTGAGTGAGTCATTCTATGCAAATGCTATCAATTCTCCTGCCAGTCCAGCTCCTTGGGAAGTGCTGTGTTGACCAGTGATAGATGGACATAGCAATATTAAGCGTTCATAGGGTTGCTGCTTGAGGTACCTGCGCTGTGTGCTGTGCTGTGTTCTCATGCTGCCAAGATGTTGCCAACCACTTCAATCAAGGCATGACAAACAGTGCTTTTTCTCTCTCTGTCTCTTGGTCTGTGAAATATGCTTCCATTTAGCTGTTTTGGAGTGCAATAAGACAGCGTTCCACGAGCCTTCTTGCGTGTTGTTGGCAGCCGCTGGGGAAATTAAAGTAGGCATGTCTCAGTAATGCAAATTGCACTGACCCCTCCGAGTGACTTCTAGCTGCACGTGTCAGAGACGAGTAACTAATGGCATCCTCTTAAGGATATACAGCCCATTATGATAAACAGATGTTTTTTATTGTCTTTTTACAGAAATATGCAGACTGTTTATGCTGGCTCAGAGAACAGCAGCATACTCTGGGCATTGCCAACACATTACACGACAGTTTGGGTGTGGTAAATTGAATTGTTTTGAGATTTCTGATCTCCTTTTATACTGCTGTGCATATGCAGTTAGAGGAATAGCAAGAGCGAAACAAATTGGAATTGGAAGGAAGAACAAGCCAGAAGCAAGAGCATTGCTGGGAAGGTGACTGAGTTGGGACACAATCAGTCAAGGCGACTCTTTGTTACCAGTGGAATTAGGCTTTAGGATAATTTAACAAAATTACATAAACAAGTAAAATGTGTAGAAATGTGTTGAATAATCTTAATAGTACAATAGTCTCATAGTGAGAAGAGTAGATTTGGGGTGATCTCATTTCTTAAGATGTCGTGTTTTGCACTGTAGTCTCTTGTGTAGATGCAGTGTTCACCTGATGCAAGTAAGAGAGAGAGAGAATGAGCGAAAGAGACATGGTCAGAGGGGCCGAAGTGCTTGCTAGAGTGTGTGAGGACCGACGGGCATCAGGTCCAGATGGAGACCGTGGCACTGTTTACCCACACAAATTACCTTCTGCAATGTCACCTCAGTCCTCTCTCTCTTTCTCTCTTTTCTCTCTCTCTCTCTCTCTCACTCTCTCTCACTCTCCTCCCAGACTTCCAGCTTTAATTAGAATTCCTCCGAACCCCTTTGTCTTCTTGGTAACTTAATTAGTTTTGGGCAAATAGCATTAAATTAAAATGTCACTGTCTGGAAGCCAATTTACAGCGAGTAGATTTTAGGTGTACTTAAACATCGTGGCTCTTTTTCATCACTTCATAGAGCAGTTTGATGTCTCATAAGTTGAAAGCTCATTGTTGATGTTTTCTCCTCATACGCCACACATACACACACACATAGACAAAGGCAAGCAGGCGACAAGTTGGCAGCTACACCTCTGTGGCCATGCCTGACTCGTAACTTTGTAATTTTGCAGTCAGCTGAAGCCAGTGTCCAACAACATGAACGATACCATTCTCATGTCCTCCGGGGCACCCACATCCACCAAAAGGTAAGCGCCCCACGCAGGCTTTCTGTTTGCATGCACTTGTTTTTAAGCCCCTCCGTGTAAGCCTGTTATGTAAAACAGAAAGAAAAAAAGAAAGGCTCGCTTTGAATTCTGTGCTGTGCGTGAGTGATGAGTGGGGGATTTTTTTGAGCCCGTCTTCGTGGTGAATGCACCGCCGCAGGAGTCAGGCTATACGTTTGCCTTTCAAAGGCAGATGAGCCGGAGCACTGACGAGAGAAATTGGCCTGCCTCTTCTGTGGAAAGTCTCAGTGTGTTTTGCAGACTGGGCTTGCTCAAGGTGATAGGGGAGATAAAAGCACTCAGGATTGGAACCTTATCTTGTAAATAGGGTTAGTAGTCAAGTTTGGCTGCTTTACTGCTTTTCTGTCCCTGTTCCTGTGGCATACGCTTTAACGGTTGCTCTGTTAACACTGGTATGAATGGTAGTGGGCAATGTGGCAATTCATAATATTGTGATACTTGATGTCATTTTTACAATATGCAATATGTGTCACAATATTACTGTTCTGAGTTACTGTATAATTGTAGTGAGGTTTGATCAGTTGGAACAGATAAATGCACCAGACCATTCCACATTTAAAAATGCTATTTAAAAACATCATTTGATGATTTTTTTATTCAGTGTTCCACATACTGTGCTGCACTATTAATAGCCAGTTAAGCAAGGCTCTCATGGACTCTTGCATCTTCAGGACGGTAATATATAGTGTCCTGACAACAGGGCAAAGTTTTGGACAGCTAAACCTCTCTCCTTAACATCTTTTTAATGAAACATGCAGTTGGTCAGTGTTGTGGACATACTGATCATATCCACATTATGCTCAGAAGAGCTTACTGTTGCATTAGAGAGGTTTGTTGTCACATAATACATAATGTTAATGATATCATATCATCATATCAGAAAAGGTTATTGGCATGTAATTTATGATAATATTATACAGTCATATCAGGGAAGTTTATCATCACTCAATTCATGATGATGAAATAATATTTTATCATTATATCGGAAAATCTCACTGTCATGTAATTTGTGATAATACTGTGTTGTCATATCAGAAAAGCTTCACACAATTTTTGAGAAGATTATTTTGTCTTATCAGAAAGGCTTATTATTGTGTAATTCATGATAACGGTATTATACTATAGTGTCAGAAAAGCTTGTCTTCACGGTAAAGCTTATCATTACATAATTCATGATAGCAAAGTTTTAACATTATATAAAAGCTTATTGTCAAATAATTTGTGCTGATATTATATTGGCACATCATAAAAGCTTATCATCATGTAATTCATGATAACGATATTAGTTGTATTAGTCATATTAGAAAAGCATATCTTTACATAATTTATGATGACATTATATAGTCATATCAGAAAAGCTTATTGTCATATAATTCATGATAGCGATATTATATCATCATATCTGGGATGCATATTGTTATGTAATTTGTAATAGCGATCTTATATATTTATACCGGAAAAACATGTCACATAATTCATGATAATTATATAGTCATATCAGCTTATTGCAAGGTAACTCATGATATATTGTTATATCAGAGAAGCTTATCATTGTGTAATTTATTGTAACAGTATATCATCGTATCAGAAAAGATGATCATCACTTAAAACATGACAACAATATTATATACATATCAGAAAAGCTTACTGCCACGTATTCATGATACTGATATTATGCAGACATATCAATCACCCCTGTGATTGCATGAAATGAAATAATATTAAGCGGATTTGGTAAGGAAGAAAAAAGGACTAGAATAGTTTATTGCATTACACACTCTGTTGTGCTCCAGGGTGAAATTTCTTATCAGATGGAAATTCAGAAGAGTCATCACTGGAATTATGGAACATCCCTTTGCTTTCTTTTTATGATTCTCCCCAGCACAGCTTCTTCCACTTTTGTTTCCAGTTTGAACCACTTACGTTTGATCACATACTGCGTAACATGCCATTAAGTCATTAACAGCACCGTTAATATAGTGCTAGTATTATTAATAGTGAAACACACATACCGCTTTAGAACATGAAGTGTCATGACTGCAAATCACTTGAATGGACCAGATGTGACGCTCAGTGTCTGCAGGAGGAGGAGCAGGCTGTTCATATGCATGCAGCGCTAAAAATAGCTTGGCACGGTCTGCCTGAGGCGGCAAGAGAGTGTTGGGGAGGGAGGGGACCGCGCATGGGTAAACACTTCATCCGACATGAGATCCTTCACTGTAAAGATCAGAGTCAGGCTAAAAAGAGCTGACTTGACTCGTTAACCTCAGGCAGCGAGAGATGCTGTGCATTTAGATGAGCTAGCTAGCATGAGGAGGGGTTATAAGCACATGTGCCACAGCCCTCTCGCAGCTCTAATGTGGCACTCTGACAGCCTTAAAGCCAGCACCGCAGCCTCTTTGGCCAGAGGGCTAACGGCAGAGGAACATGCCATTATTTTTCGCCAAATTCTGCTCACATTGTTATTCATTGGAGCGTGCAAAAAATAAAAGCTGCCCTATCAGCCGAAGTGAAGGTTGCAGGGACATGAAGATTTCCTTGCCCTCCTGATCTGATTACTTGTAAGAAAGACCTGCTTTAATTGATTATGTCTGCATTATGGTAAGGCTGGAGCCAACTGAAAAGTTACTGTGCAGACTGTAATCCCTAACAGTAATTAGGACAGTGCTGCGAATGTAATTTACTTCCCTTTGAGAAATAACATTTTTGCCTTGCGTTTCATGGATAAGGAACAAACACTATAAACTAATAAACAAAACTATGAATATTACTGTGCAAAACCATCCTTAGAGCCTTAGATCAATAGTTTGGCAAAAGGTCAAATTTTACCCTCTTATCCCAAACGTAGCTACTCAACCAAGACATGTTTGCGTGCTTAGTTTTGCTCTAAAGCCACAAGGCTAATTTTACTAACATACAAGGTTTAAAATGAGATTTTGGAGGAGGGGGAGCCCTGTTTTTTTCCCATAGGTGTCACGTGGAAACAATATTGTTTAGTCACGTAGTATTACATGGCATTTTCAGCACTTATATCGTGAAGGTGTTATTAAAACTAGTAGTCTGTCTGTTTCTGTATTAGTGACTTAACCCACTATTGCACACATTATGAGATCAGTTTTTATAAAATGTTTGAATCTGTTTTCTTGCATAAAATTGAACTGATTATTAAAATCAAAGACAAGATTTTTAAAATAATGTGTGCAGAGGTCCTTTTGGGGTATGTTGCCTTGGGGTAACGTTGTACAAACCTATCTATAAAATCAATTTGATTCTATTTTTATTTACACAAATAACTATTTGACCCATTCTAAAAAATAAAAAGAGTCAATTCATTTTCAAGCACTTCTCTCCCACAAAAAAAAACAAAAAAAACAAAATTGATAGAACATAAAACACAATGAACGCTGAGTGCTACATTACAGAATTACCTGGAATGGTCTCCTAGCCAAAATACACAATAACAAAAAATATTCTAAAATTAAAAAAAAAATCTAGATGAATAACTAAACAATAACTGCAGTGTTCCCTCAAGTGGCTGCATAAGAGATTCCTCACTTTCTACTAACTAATTTATGACCCTGTTAATGTTGCTTGTAGGGAACAAGCATGTTTAAACTCATTTCTCACAACATTTATGTGATACTGAATGTAATACAATGAACTTCACACTCCAACAGATGTGAATCATAACTTCAATTTCAATCGATAAAAATTTGCATTTCTGCGGGAAATGGTCCAGTGCAGAAACATGTCATCCACAGAAAAAAGGTATAAAAAGGCTTAGCAATTAATATACTGAGCAATTTATTTTTATTTTTTTGGTTTATTCTATCTCCTCCCTACATTATTACTCTATTTATTGCTGATAAATATGTATCATGTCGTTGTAAAGTGATGAAAATAGGTTTGTTGCCCTCAGGCAACATCATGCAATAGAGGGTTAATTAGACCAATTTACTTTGCTGTTTTATGTATGTCCTGTTTTCTTGTGAAGCTGATTAGCAATATTAATTTACAAACATTAGCAAGCTAGATGCAAATGTGAGTAGCATTTAGCAGCAATCAGTTTGCAAGTCAGTAAGCTAAACATCGTAGTTGTGCAAGGATGTCAAATTTAGTAAAAACCTAGTTCCATGCAGGCCTAATATAGACTACTTAAAGGCATAATGAACAGATTTCTTTAGTCAGTTAAAACTTGAAACAAGCAGGAAGGATTCAATACATACTTACAGTACTGTGTAAAAGCCAGACACCACCATTCATTTATTTCATTTCTAGTCAAAATGGCCATTAAGTACAATTTATTCATTTTTCCAGGAGATATTTCTGGGGAGATTGCATAATTCACTTGCATAATTAATGAAACTGGAGTTTCCAAAAGTGGAGTTCTAAAGATTTTTAAAAGATACAGAGAAAATGAGACTCCTAATAACCAGACAAGGCCTGGTAGACCACCAAAACTGTCACCATCACATAAACAATACTTAAAGCCTTCATCTTTGAGGGGAAGGAGAAAAGACTTCAGACTTGCTTCACATCTAAAAATTCCACAGATGTTTCTGTCCATCCTTCCACTGTGAGAAGACAACTTGACTCTATGAGTCTCAAAAGATGTGTAGCTATCAAGAAGCCATTACTGAGAAAAGGAAACAGACGAAAAAGAAGAACATTTGCATATCAAATGGACTGACCATTCCAGAGTCCTCAACATCACTGAATGTGTTTTTGATTACTTGGATCATGAGAAGCTGAAAATGCAACCAGCTTCTAAGACTGAACTTTAGAGGTGTGGAAAAATATCCCTGCAATGTTCCTGAAACACTGAAAGCAATACTCCTGAAAATAATGGAAGCTCCAATCAAGGCAAAGTGTAGACACACTAAGTGCTGCAGACATTTGATATTATACGTAGTTGTTGAGGCTTCTGTGTAATTTTCAGTTAAATATGCTTTTTGTTTTTT